GAGGCCTGCTATTTTAGAAGTGGATGGCCAATCCTTCTTCCTAGTTTGTCTTAATCTGAATGTTTAGATTTAGATGAATATCTGACTGACAAGCAATTTGTGGAGCAGTGAAAGATAAATCTCTCATTGTGGAGTTAACCATTAGTTACAGTGTTGTCCCAGCCCCTTTGCCCAGTGCTTTGACCCACTTATTTCCCAGCTCCACCCTCCACCAGGATACCCCTTCACTTCTACCAAATCCCTTCAGAATTTATCTTCCATTGTCCAGCCCATGACCTGACAGCTTGTATCTGAAGCTTTCTTGACTTCTGTGATTCCAAACACGTCAACTGCTGACAATTTTTTATGCTGTGACCAGTGTCTCTTAAGTTTAGTTGTACTATGAAGGGAAGGTGATGTGTCCTGTAGAACTCCTGTATAGACCGATTTTGGCTCCGCCTTGGGGCTTTTGTACCTGTGGATGTGTCAGAAGCTTTTGCCGTGTCGCTTCTCTATTGTCTGGCATCTATTCAAGATCTGCGAGTCGCTTCTCTATTGTCTGGCATCTATTCAAGATCTGAAAAGAGATTCCATTTTAAAACACTTCTACAATGTATCAGGAAATACTCATCCAAACTTGAGATGTAGGTCTTGCCCACCAGAAACTAGAAAGAAAACAGAAATGATGAGAGGCAAGTGTCTGTGTATACAAGATGTGATTGGATTTGGGACATGAAGGAGATCCGTTTTTCTTACATGTGAGTCAGAAAGCAAAATGCCCAAACTCAATTGAAGATTGGAAAAAGGATGTTAATAAGTAACTTGTTGTGTAACATACAGTCAGAATCAAACCACAGCTGATTCTGCAGTGGGTTTTCAGAGGCAGTTACTCACACAGGAAGAGACTGCCCATCTTTCTCCTAGCTGGTGGCCTTGAACCAATGTACCTTTGGGACTACTGCACAGCTCCTTGCCACTAGGCCACAAATGGCCAGTAAACATGGCTTCTGCTGTTGTTGTTAGGTGCCATTGAGCTGGAAACAACTCCCAGCTGACCCTCCAGCAGGTTTTCAGAGGCAGGAAATGACAAGGGAGGAGCTTGCCGTTGAGTTGGCAGCACAGCTACCTACCCGTGAGGCCACCAGCGCTCCCTAGTGAGCTAGGAAAGGTACTACATCTCATAATGATTGAAACCATCCCAAATAGAACAATAATTAAGGTATTTATTTCTTTTCTCATACAGGAAATAACATGGAAAAGATTAATAGAGCTCTCATAATGTCTCTTCTGGCATCTGATCAGGAAAAGGATTGTAACAAGTATCACAGATAGTGTTAGTTCTCCTGGGGGTGGAAGACTGGTAATCCTTGTTCTAGTGTGTTTTATGCCTCATGCAAAACAATTGCTTTGAATCTGTCTAATATTTTAACTTAAAACAATTTTTTGAAAATTCATTACAATTAAGCCTCTCTTGGGAATCTGATAGTAGGTTGTGAATGCAAGGGTGTATGTTCGCTTTACATTGTGTTAGCAAAAATGTTGAAAAGTCTCTAAATGTCTCTTAATGGAAATTGGTATATCATTTTTAATAAGGTGATAGTAGCCTGTATTGAATATGTTAAAAAGTGAAAAATGACACAGGTTTTTTAGATGAAAAGAATTTATATGGATAGATATACATCTGCTTAAACAGATTAAGAAAGCAAAGAATGGTCTTTGATGGTGACATAATTCACTTCTGATTTAGCATATAAT